GAGAGTACAGGCAGGCTAATTAAACATTTCGCCATATTAAAAATCTTAATAGTCACATTTGCTAAGATCCGCGTAATAAATCGCAATATTGTCCTAGCGCAACGACGTGCTTAGTTTGTTTACGTAAATAATATTGTTTGTATTTAAAAAATTGCATTTTCATACAGAGCCACGCTGCAGCTATATTATGGATGTAGCACAAATCGGTCGGTTCAACTGGGGAAGGACCACGTTCTCACAGAATACCAATGTGAAATAAATAGCAGCTTACTGTGTTTCGTATGGTGAGTGTAGAGATCCGGAGACCCTTTTTTACTGGAAACGAGGCGTTCGATCTTAGTCCTCAGAGGTGACAACGCATCTGCGTTTTGATTCTTAATCGAAGATAAATGTTGATGTCTATGGGACACAGCATCCACTTACCATCAGGTGGACTGTGTGCTCGTTTGATAACCTAACTCTATATAAAAAAGTACTAACCACTTGTGCTGTGATTGTCATGCTGCCTGGTGTAGTCATTTCTCTCAGGCGAAGGTGCTAGGTCACTGCCGATACCAGAACTGCCCCCAGAAGACTCCAGTTTGCGTCTTGCGTTAACTCCAACGATACTTTGGTTGAGACATCTGCGAGTATCTATGTTGCTGAGGTTGCCTTTCTGACGGTGTACCGTATCGTAATCCCGTGGGGGAAGCAGGATGGGACTCTTTCCTGGAATTGGCAGATCTGTTTTTAGTGTTTAGAAATGTTTCTAAACATATAGATTTTATCTACTGCATAAAGCTGGCAAACTTGATAGAAAATACTAAAACTTGGTATTGTATATTCTTTAAATCAATATACATGGTCTATAATCATTACTCGTGTGTATAATCATTTATAAGAGAGATGAAAGAATTTTAATTATGTTTAAATTATTATTTTCTATCTTATAATTTTTAATCTACTTACATTAAATAGGTAATCACTATGTATAATATTAATTATAAATATGTAAAATGAGTTATTATGATACTTCAGTTACATATTATTTCAAATACTATATACACAATGAATGCGTAACCTTATTTTGTATGCGATTCGGCGTCGCCGGGAGCACACATACAAGCAATTACGTCGTATTATCAGTTAATCACTACTACAAACCCAATTCGCTGTGTTGACAGATGGATTTTAATACATATTTATTTGTAAATAGCGTGCAATTTGGCATTTTCTAAAATAATTTGCATGCGAAATTTGGAAACGATTGTAACGTCAAAACACAGCTCGTGTTGACATTTGTACGTGTGAATTGACGTGTTAGTGACATTTTAGTGGCTACGCGGGCTCCGCCCACTCCCCCGTTCTATTTTGTATGTATTGTAGTATTCTATGTTATATTTAATATGTACATAATGGAATATAAATATCAATTATTTTATAAGAAGCTTTAAATAAAATACATACGAATACAAAAACGCTAAAGTGCGCAAACTAATTGCGTGGAAGCGATCACAAGCTACTCAAATCAGAAAATCGCACTAACCTAGTCCCTTTTTACCTGTTGACAGCTTCTGTTTCAGTTCGGCAGCCAAACTGTCGTAAAGATTAGCAACGCATCGCTCTTCAGTGCTGCCGGAGTCTGATTCCCTTGAGACTTCACTGCCTAAGGAAGAGTCTGGAGGCTTCTTCGAGGGCAAAGCGCCACGCATTTGCAATTTCCGCTCAATGTCAGCAAACTTCTTTTGATTTTCGGGTCGCTCGATCAATGCTTGTAGGTGCGTGAACAGCATTTCTGCGGTGTGATCCGAATCGCATCTGTGGGAATAAAACTGATTTTAATTTGTTGAAACTTTTTTGTTTATAGAATAGGAGCATGCAACAAACGAGCACACAGTCCAACTGATGGTAAGTGGATGCTGTGGCACATAGACATCTACATTTATCTTAAATTAAGAATCAAAATTCAGATACGTTGCCAGCCCTGCGGAATGATTAGGAATGTCTCGTTTCCAGTAAAAAGGGTCTCTGGTTCTCTACACTCACCATACGAAACACAGCAGCGTTAAGCTACTATTTTACGCTGGTATTCTGTGAGAGCGTGGTCCTACCCCGGTCGAGCCGATCCATTCGTGCTGCAACCACAATATAGCTGCAGCGTGGCTCTACCACGTAAAGTAACTTCATGGTATCAAAACATTATGTATGTGTAGTATGTTGTATGTACGATATTTATTTATCTAGTTTACTATTTAACTTTATGAGCGTGGAGCAGCGGTGTAAGAATATCCCATAGACCATATATATAGTTCCGTGGGTGTCGTACGATGTGATAGAGGGAAACAACTAAGTGATGGGCAGCGGAATCTTTCTAATAACAACTAAAATATGAAAACCTTCTGTTGCCAAACGGCTTGCCAAGCGTGGCAACTGTGGCAAATATCCTTCACGTGAGGCAATCTATGGCGAAGTACTGAATGTTCAGCTGTATAGTTATTGTAGGCCGTGTTAGTGTAACGATGTAAATTTAACCCTTCAATCCCCATAAAATTCCCATACAATTGCATGCATCCGTCAAATCCCGAGCGGTCGCATGCGACCGCACCCACCCACAGCACTTTAAACCATTAAAACTTATATTTAGAGACTACTTTTCGGTGAAGATGTTTGGCATTATAGAATTAATACAAAATTTTCTAACCTGTTGTTTCAACAAAAGTCAATTACTCTATGTATTTTTGTTTTTATTCTACTGTCAATTTACGACATATTAAACCATAAAACACAGCACTTTAAACCATAAAAACTTATATTTATAGAGTACTTTTTCTATAAAAACGTTTGGCATTATAGAATCTCTACAAAATTTTCTATCCTGTGGTCTAAACAAATCAATTACTCTATGGATTTTTATTTTTAATCTACCGTAAAATTACGTCATTTTCGTATGGTCGGCAAATGTCGTAAATTGACAGTAGAATAAAAATAAAAATACGTAGAGTAACTGACTTTTGTTTACACCACAGGATAGAAAATTTCGTATAGATTTATAATGCCCAACTTCTTCGTAGAAAAGTAGTCCCTAAATATAAGTATTTATGGGTTAAAGTGCTGTGGGTGGGTGCGTCCGGATCCGACGGCTTGAATTTTGACAGAACATCGCCTTGTTCGGATCTGATTGTGTGCCCATTGAAAGGTTAAACCACTGTCTAATGTGTAATTTACGTTTCTTTCCACTCAAAGGTGGCCTGCAACAGATCGCTTTTAGCGATATGGTCACCCATTGTATAATTAATTTAACACATTTTTTGTATATTGTAATTTTCGTTTATGGTGGTTTGTAATTATTATTATAAACTTCCGACATGTTAGGTACTAATTTGGATATCATATTTGGGTATACTTGTTTTATAAATATGCGTATTTTACTGTTATTAAGTCCTTATAAGGACTGTATGACCTTATAAGGACCTTATAAGGTTATTTAGGACCGCAGAAAAGAATTATAGTATTATTTAAATTTAATTATCGTCATGTATGCATTTTTTTAACATAATTATAATCGGCTATAGTTGTTTTTCGCTAATCATTTTAATGTATAGTGAAAGTAAGTTTTGCTAAATGAAAATAAAGTTTTGTTGTTTACAGATACAGTATTTTCTATATTAAGCTAGTATTTATTTATCAAATGTAATATTTTACTATGACTGTAATGAATAGGTATATTTGGTGTCAAAGTTAGTAGTACTGACTTGTGCAATTTTGACACCAAAAAATGACGCTAAGTTAACGATTAAATGTTGTTATTCGCATTGAATGCTCATTCCTTAGTGCAACTAGCGGTTTTTACCAAATCAAGTGGAGCGACAAAATAGATTAAGTTGGATTACTAAATAGTACATTTTAGTTGTTTTGTAATAGTGTCGATAAATATAATAATATATTAGTTGTATCCCTGAAGTCCAAACTTATCACAAAACTGTGAAATCGGGCCCAGGTAGGTTAGGATGAGAAACACCCACTTCCTGAACTGGTTCCTGCGTTGTCATGACGTGGGGGGGAGGGCTTAGTAGTCGTGGCTAGGTCACCCACGGAGAACTAAGAATAACGCACATGGTTGGCCCGAAGTGGCCACTCTGAGTGGGCTCGGTGACCCACCTTTGGCGAGCAACTTGGGAAACAATTATAGCTCGAGACAATCTATATTGGTCAGGAGAACTTCATCATATTTTTTAAATACATACACATTTTGGAAATTACTGACACTATGTAACACCTTGAGTGATAAACTGTTGTAGATTACTGGCCGGGTGCCCGCCTAAAAAAAGGTATAATATTATACCCGGTATATATGTAGCATTTTGGGCACTTGTTAGCTTAATTGTATTTTAAAGCCGTGAAGGATGTTTAATACAGGTTTCAAATTTTCTAAAAATATTTTAAGGAGGAGCAAAGCCTCCCGATTCTCATCTTCGCAGCGTTCGCAGCTTCACCTGTCGTCTTTTAAAAAAAGGCAGGAGAATGCCGTTTTCCGTCTTTATTTATATACCAGTTGGATAATGTCGATTGTGGTGGCGAGCCCCGCGTGCCAAAGTGCGATTGTGCGCCTATAAATGTCGAAGTTGAAACATTTTGAACAAGGCCAATTGTCACTTGCGCTTAGTTATGCTTATAGGTACATCATTTAACGCGTCGTTCAGATGCAAAACGTGTGTATAATAACGATGATAGAATGGTTTGAATTTTTTACGCAATAAGGTATCCTATAAACTATAAATATCAATGGGCGTTTTTCTTGGTTCTACGAGTAGCAATTCCTTATAATTTGTTAGGCAATATCAGCACCTTTCAGTCAAAACAAAGCGAAAAATATAATTTCATATAGTATTACGGAATTCGGTAAAATTATTTAATTATCTTTATTATGTTTCACTTAAAATAGCATACAAGTGTTAAGTTATTATATCATTAAAGTTTTAAGTTATTATACAATGTACATATAAAAAGTACCTTCTCGATATTTTAAGAAAGGTACGCTTAGATGCGACCTTACAAATTAACAAAGATCGACACACTTTTTTCTGTGTAAATAAATCTCTAAAAAACGAGATTTCAATTTTTTTACGAAAATTAGAGTTTTAATTTTATTATATATACTCTCAATTTGGCTACTTGGAGCAGCCCCAAAACCAAGCGTGGCGATTATATCAACGCGGGAGAGGTTTACAACTGACAGGGTAGAGGAGACTCGGGCTGGTAGTGACAGGGGTAGATAGTTACAGCGGCAACGGTGGCTAAACTGAGAACGCTATATTGACGTGAGAAAGATACAAATGATCACGCCACCATCGGCTAGCACGCCGCGCGAACCTGTGGCGCCAGGGCTTTTGTGAGAGGAGCCCGTACATGTTGCCGTCAAAGCCGCATGTTAGTAACATTTTCGTTTTTTCGTAATATTGGTCTAAAACCTCTTTTCCTTTAAAGCAGATATGTGTGTGTTGTGATATGTGTGCCCTAATCCTTTCTTATTGCAACGAATTTACGTTTATACAGTTATACTTATTTGTGATTTTACTACTTAACCTTAAAAGGTTAGTTTTGGCGTTGGGGCTAAAAGTGACATTTGCTCGGGGCAGGTTGTTACTTGTTACTACCTACCCCGTAGTGCTGCTTGCCGACTGATATATTTGACTTATTTATTTTTTGCTAATGTAATTTTATTTTTTGTTCATCTTCAATTTATACTAAGCTTTTGTTTAATAAAGAAATTTATAACTTTCTGCCGGTTGGAAGTTACCTAAATTTTATTTTTATAAGGCGTAAGTCTAAAAAATAAGATTATAATTTTGTTCAACGAAGTTACTATGTTTTTATTTTAATGAGGCAAAAGACTGTTATATAGAAAATATAGTTTGACATTGTATACATAATAATTGTTATAAACTGTCATTATTCTTAATAAAAAGGGTTATATTACATTTGGTTTTTGTTGTAACATTTTGCCCCTTATAGTGTAACAACCAGCCCCTGGCGCGGGGCTAAAAGTTACACGCCTCTTTTCCAAGAATTAATTCATTTATATCACTTCCAGTAGTCCGGTATCTAAAATTGTTTTTAAATTAATAACCCGAATAATTACTTATTCAAACAAACCAACATTCCGGTAAAACAATCAAACAAACAAAAAATTGCGACACTTTATAAAAAAAATGTCACAACCAGCCCCAGTCTCCCCTATTTTTACGAACTTATAAATTAAGAAAGCGAAGTTATTCATTGATTTGCTAATTCAATATCTTAAATAATTTTATATCGAAAACGAAAAAACCTTGACCAAGCTATTAATGAAATTTAAAAAAAATCGATAAGTCGAAATATTAATGCCATCACTAGTAGCTCAAGCGACTGCTTTTGAGTGATGTGATGCAAGCTTCAAGTACTGGCTGGCACACATGGGCGGAGCAGCCCTCGGTCTAGTACTATGCATGCATTGCTAAATGTTTTGTGGCGTAATCCATATGCATTGTAATTCTATCGTCTCAAAATATATTTTGTACGATCTAGAATTTGTTTGTATTCACGATGACATTCTTTGTAATAAACACGGTGCTATAATTGTGATGCACTACTTAGTTATAGTTACAGACTTTTTATGGTAAATTTACCCCAACGATTCATTCCTATAATTATTAAAGCTACGTCGCTTTTACAAACTTACAAAATTACATCTAAAGCATAAAAATCAATGTTTGTCATTTCATATTTATTTTATGCTTTGCCATAACGTTCATCAGATTGCGCTAAAACTTTGTTAACTT